CCGCCGTCACCCGTATCTTTGCCCAATCTTGCCTTATGCGGCTCCGCGAGCGTACGGGACCGACAAGTGGCGGGACCGAAGGGCTCCGGCGCGGCCCCGCACACCGCGCGAGCACTTCTTTCCTACCGTCATCGCGCAGATCATTTACTCTTCCTTTTTCTACACCAACGTACTCTTTACTGTACAATGTTGGGCCACAGTATATTCGGATGGAGTGTACAGAAGCAGAGATTACCAGATATTACCTCACCGACGCTTTGCTTCTGGATCTGAACCTTGCCCTACCTTGACCCCGCTGACGACGACAACGATCTCTACTCAAGAAGGCAACAACGCAGTTTCTTCTTGATGCCAATCAAGTTTACCAGCTTCGCAGTGCATGCCGTTACCCGTATTTCTGCCAAGTGATAACCATGTGCGCCGGCAACTTGAATTCGTACAGCCGGTGAATTCGGTGACTACTGCGTAGTGCGCAGATATTGCGCAACGTCATGCGTGTATCGACTGTTACCGGCGGCATCTCTTGAGGCCATCTTACCTCATCTACGGATTCCGTTCGCCGCCTTGAACAAATGTGCGAGTCGACTTCGCCGTCTGCCATCTGTACATGCACTTCGGTAGTCTCTCCGCCGCAGAGTCTACGCCGACATATCTTTCGAACCCTCTTCTGATTACGGATCGCGTAACCTGGATGGGATTGGGCTTGGAGTCAACGATATAGGACTGTATGCTAATACATCTGCATCTGGAGGCGGTGTAGGCGTACTGTATGGCGATGGCTAGTCATGAGTGCGGTCTATGGCCTGGCATCACTTCGTCGGAGATGTGGCTAGTCCTTGTATTCTAACGACGAGTGTGTCGTGTGCGCATTCAGGCCGCCGTGGGTTGGTTGTTAGCTTACAGTCAGCGGAGAGGTGGTCCAGGCGGCGGCCGTAATGCACTCGCTCTGGAGCTAGTAAGTACACAGACGCTGTGGCACATGCTCTGCTCTGCTCGACGCTCACTGGCTGTCTCAGGTATTAGGGCTGTACTTAGCTGGATATTCAGCACGAAGGTCGGCCTTCCTATGCTTCCTCAGGTGCTCTGATGCGTATACTCTCGTGAGCGACCGGACGCCCCTGCATCGGCGCGCGACGCGCAGCGAACGTTATCACCGTATCGACTCCGCGGCCACAGATCGTCGTATGCCCGGTTCTACTTGTGGTGTTCCCGCGCCCTGTGCACGTCCTCCTCCCTCACGGCATCGCAACTTGTGGGACGTACGGCAGGGTTTTCTATCTTGCATATCTTACACGTACAGCGCTCTCCAACATACCCACACTGGCCGATCTATGACGAGATGGCAGCGTCGATCCTTGAGCGCGAGGGTTTCATGTCGATCCTTTCGACGTGGAAAGGCTTGGTAGACGTGGAGTCGGCGGCTCGAGTGAGGTGGCTTGCGGTAATGGCTCCTGTGGATAGGTGGGCAACACCGAATGCTCCGGCGGTGGTCGGGATATAGGCTGGCGGTAAATGGAGTTGTACGACTTGCTGCGAATATCATGCAATGCGTGTATCAGCTCAGCAGCAGCATTGAAGTGCTGCTCGGCGGACCGAGTCGGTCTGTATATACGATTGATACCACCAAGAGGCTGTGTATTGACTTTTGAATCAGAAGTGTTCTCTACACGTTGATATTCTCTTTGAACTGCAGTTGGGTCTGTAAGTCCGGCTGATGCATCTGAATCCGAGGCGTTAAGCTACGCGAATGTCAGTGGGTACTAAGCCCTAAGAAGGATGGCCTCTGCCAGTTACGTGACCGTGTCGGCCTTGATGGGTGAGTGGACCGTGACAAGTCGCGTGGTGGGCACAACATTCAAAAGTCTTTGACTGTATAACCACCTGGACCTCTAAAGATACAATAAGGTGCAAAGAAGGTGGGCCGATTAGAAGGTCCAACGCAACACAAGAGGTTTAGCTCCAGTCAGGATGCATTCACATTGGACAGGAGATGGCTGTCAGACAGCTTCAAGTTCATCAGAATTTAGACCGTAAGGTAAAGAAGAGTGACTTCCGGCCATGGTTGAAGACACGTCGCAGAGAGAGTTTGTGACTTCGAGTCTACGAGTCAGTGTGTGGCAATCGTTCTTACAAACATTTACAATCCATGAGTCGATGCTGCGCGAATAGATGCTCCCAGTTTTATTTGATTTTGTTTGCCTCGCAGTGACTCTCAAGCGCGACGCGCGTCGCATGCCTTTCGAACGTACCACCACCATCCCCGGCTCAGTCTCGGTCACGTCACTGGCAGTAGCGAAAGCCTTTTCTCTGACGAGGCAACAGAGTTGTCATCGATGCGAGATCTAAAAGTATCACACCGACGATGTGTATACAGGATGCTTGGCTTACAGGACCGGGAGTATTTGCTGACCAGTCGGAACAACCCGGGGAGAAATCGTCCATTGTTCATAGAGACGGGCTCTGGACACCTGCTTGTAGAAACTGGATTCTGTGGCATTGCTATTTCACGCCTTCCTTTGCCGCAGATCGGAGATGTCGCTTGGCTCAGCGCTGAGATGTGCCTTTTGTCTATGCCGACTTTGGAGAGGCGAGGGACGTTCTGGCGCTTGGCAACAGGGCCGCTCAGGCATTGAAAGCCTACAACCATTGTACCAAAATGACAGGTACACGCTTCTATGCGTTATACCACCGGAATTTGTGTGCGCGCCACCCCATTGGTATGACTCGGAAGCTTAATCAGGTTGCGCCCTCTGCGCCCTCAACCACATAACATATTTCTTGATGTGGACTCGTAGAATCCAGTATATAAGCAACTGTCGAGTGTCTCAGCTCTACCGGGACTCGTACAGTTCGTCTCTCTCTCCTCACCTCACTGTGGACGCCATGCCTTCCGGCCGCGGGCCTTCAAAGAAGCAGCTAGCGCTTCAACGCGAGCTGGAGAATGCGCTACCTCCATCACCACATAATGCCCTGGTAGCGCCATATCCTGGACTACCTGTCGCACCCAGATTCATCACGGACAATGAAGAGCCTTGGGTGCCATTCTCGAAGGACTACTTCGCTCTCTTCTTCAAAGAAACATCGGGCACCTTCCAACCGCGACTTACCAATCATGCCATATTTCTCATGTTTGAGGAGCAAAACCTCAGCGGAAAGGGGTCAGCTAGTGGCGGTTGGAAGCAATTGGTTGCGGACGCGGAGGACGGTGATCAGGTCGCGAGGGATAAGGTGCTTTGGCTTGATAACGTGGTGTGGGCACAGAAGCGGTCTTTCAGTATTCACTACCCTCTCTACAAAAAATCTGCGCCGCTGCGGAACACTGAGCCTGGCTCTCCGTCTGGCGCGTCTACGTCTTCCGGCGATGCGATCTCAACATCTGATTCTAGTCGTACGAGGGGTCTTGGGACCACCGTCGAGGGTACAGTGAGCGAGGACGTCAGTCATCTTGTGTCACATATGTCTCACCTGTCAAAGCAGAACTCGGACGCACAGTCGCCCTCAGGCACCATGGCGTTTGCGGCACACGGATCTGTCCCAGTTCCGTCTAGTCGCGGGATCCCCCAGGAGCAGCATCAGCTAGCTTTGGAGAGCTCCGAGATACCGCGCTTCGGTGTCTGGTTCAGTGTACGTAGTCAATTTCAACGTCCTGCTCTTGCCCAGCTAAACCTCTCGTCTACAGGACGATACCGGTATCTTACCTCTGTTTCGCGGAGATGACGTGTACGCCACCTCACAAAGTTCCGCTTCTGAACCTGCGCCGACCCTGGGTACTCCTTCGGACCAGCAGGTGAGCATTCATGATCACTTTTCTTGTATGCCCAGGCTCTTATCTTCCATGCAGATCTCGGAAATCCATCCTGCGTCCTCTCAAACATCCCATTTGCTCCTTATCGAAGGGAATCGCTCCCCGAAAGAGCCTACTTCTCCCGCTATGCGCCTGCTCACGGCGTTGGACGTCGTGCTCCATGACGTCGGCGAGGCGCCCGCTGCGGAACACTTCCTCACTTTATCTCAAGACGCGCTTGACTTTGGAGCTGGTGACGAGGCCGCCCTCAATATGTTCTTCCATGTGTTACCTGGTATCCGCGTTAGCGTGGCTGATCTCGAGCTTCGTGTCATCGGCGAGCTCGCGCAGGTCGTTATCACTGCGATCGAACGTGGCGACTACGAGCATAGTCCCTGGGACATCGTCCAGACATTCTTCGATCGTGTCAGGAATGCCGTGTCGGCGCATGTTCGGGTAGCGTCTGAATATCCGGCCGGGTTGCGTTCGAGGAAGCGTGCGCTGGATGTAGAGGACGATGCAGATGTCGGTGGCGAGTACTATGACATGGCTGGCAGTCTGCAGGCGTACAAACGTAAACGCCTAAAGCCTCTGGCGATTCGGAACGTCGCGCTCCTTACGGATTCTGGCGTGCAGTTTGACAGCACTCTATCGGGAACGGAACTTTCGGACACGCGATTGCCGTGGTAGATCCCCCTAGCTTCTGGATTCCAGTTATCATTGACCTATGCATCTGCTCACTACTTTACGCGTCTATTTCTCACCATGCTCTCTCACCTTCTATGCTACGTTCATCTCTCACCCCTCCGAGTCCAACCTCTATCCAATCACCTCACCCTGTAGCATTAAGTAGGTATGTATATTCCAGAAGATCACGCCTCATATCATCGTACCGGCATGCTCTTGTATCATTGCTTGTGCTTCTCTACAAAATGGATCGCATAGTGACGTCTAGAGTGAACGAATCCAACGACGCAAAGCTTTTTACGCGCATATGCGTCTCGAGATTATTTGGCTTTGTTTGCGTCGCAGTAGAGTGCGCCTCGAGCGCGACGCGCGCCTTTTGAATGGGCCACCAACATCGCCGGCTCGCTCTCGGTCAATGCCGTGAGTTTCACCCTTCGTATTTGACCCGTCTACCTCTTGGTCGCATGCGTTTTTGCGCCCGCAAATTTTGCTTGGATGGTGTATGGCTGCCGCGAGCGTAGTTTCGCAGCCTTCGGTAGCCCAGCGGTAGAGCGCGAGATCATACATGGTGTGCGCGAAAATATGTTTCATCTCGAAACGCTGGTTCGAGTCCAGCCTGAAGGATGGTTGTTCATGTCTAAGTTTTGCTGGAGGTGCGAACGACAGCCGAGTATATGATGCGCCAGATGCGTGTTTGGCTTGCGCTGTGAACACTGCGAAGAGTTGTGTCCAGAGGTGGTACCAGAACATCGGCTCTATACTCCTCTGGGACAACTTCCTGAAGATGTACGTGTACTACCCTGGAACCCTCCAATGGCTCACCGGACGAGCGCGAGACACGGCGTTAATGCTTGGCAGGCCGTATGCATGCGAACGTCACCACGTCTCGAGAGCGCTGGTTCGACTCCAGCTTGGAGAATGTCTCTTTGAAACCTTGTGTTTTTCTCTCTCGTTCGATCCATGTATGGACGGACTCGGAAGACGTCGATAGAAACTACCCCGGAGGAGGTCTTCGATCCCGGCCACTTGAAGCTTTCCGCACAGGTGCGCGAAAAGTTTCAATGCGCTTGGGAGACATAGGTTTAGAACATGTGCATGTATGTATTGCATTGTAGAAGGTTGGCTGTCAGCCTCCGGTAGCTCAGCGGCAGAGCGCAAGATACATATTGGTCAACGTAGAAGTTTCATCTTGAGACGCTGGTTCGAGTCCAGCTCGGAGGATAAGGATTGTGATCGTCCGCACAAAAGTTTTGTGTAGTTATGATCTCATGCAAGGGCGGCGGTCGATGCGCGGTGACACTTGTCGGACTGGTGGTCGTTATCGGTTGCGCGCCACGGATTGAATTAAACGGGCGGTGCCAAGCCAGGTCACTCCACCACCTCCTACAAGTTCACACATCAAATCGACGTGAGCCACAAGATGCGAGCTTGAGTATATCCTTGAGCGGTGAAGCTTCAGCAGCAGAGTGAAAGTAGGTAGAATTCGGGATCGGCGAAGAGTTGAGGCAGGTTGGTCGTCTGTCAGATGCCAGGCCTGTGAGCAGACATCCTTGCATAGCCGTCATAGTGATCTCTAATCTTGCGGCTGGTAATGCTATCACGAAAACGAGAGGTGGTGGTGGGAGGCAAGACGCGCCGAACCGCAACGCGGGGTTAACGTTGCGGCCTGTTGCGGCGCGAGGTGTGGCTAAAACCCCTATCTCGCACGTGTGAGCGCGCGCAAGTTTTCCGACGCGTCCCAATATTCGCGTCTTGACCTCGACGTTTCGATGAGCAGCAGTCTCGCTGCCCAGCTCTTACAGGGCGCGTCTCTAAACAGCGCCCAACTCCTCGAGCGCGGCGCCAAACGGAAGCCGACCGAGTCCTACCTCTTCTCCGGCCGCGACGCGAACCAGCACGACCTCGAATCCCTCCACGCACTCGCCTCCAGCGCGTTCACCCAGCTCAAGGCGCTGAACCCTAGCCTGAGCGTATACGAAGATGGATTGCTCTCTGACAGGTCGAGGTTGATCGATAGGACGTTACTGGGTGCGGAGGACAGGGAAGAGCTAGACGGGCAGTTGAGAGGGCTGTTGGCCCGACTGGGGAGACATCTGATGGAGGTGCCGACAGGGAGAGTGCTCGAGTGGCTGGTCAGGCGCTTCAGAGTGCACGAATTCAACGTAAAAGACGTCCTCGCCCTCTTCCTGCCCTACCACGACTCGCCCCATTTCACAAAGATGGCTTCAATCTTGCACGTGCAGTCTACTCCCACTTGGTCTTTTCTCTCGGCGCACGGTCAGGCAAATGTACCTTTGAGGCGAGGAACTTTGGTCGAGCAGATGCGAAGGAATGGTGATGTCACCAGATTTGTGGCTGGGTTACTGCCAAAGGCATTGGCGGGCGGGTACGCGCACAGGACCGTCGTGGCCTTCCATACCGGCGTGCTGCTGGAATATATCGAGGGCAGCAAGACCATGGATTCTAACACCACTGCTGTCATCTTGCCGCCTATCGTGGACTCTATCAAGGCTGTGGGCGCTGCGAGCAAGGATACCCTCAGCACTGGCCTAGCCAAGGACGTCGTCGTAAGTCTTCAAATTTATGTTCATGTACTATCTCAGGCTAATTATTTCTGCAGCTATCGAGCTACCTCCTCCTATCGTCCTTCTCCTCAAAATCTCATCTCACGCCTCAAGCCATATCCGCCCTCCTCACCTCCCTCGCATCCGGCGCCTCAAAAGTGACATCCCAACAATTCGTCGCGGCCTTACTCTCCGTAATCGTCCCGCAGGACATCCAACCTGCACTCCCCCAAGTTGTACTCAGGAAGCTTATGGACCTCGAAGATGCCCCGGCAGTGTTGGTTCAGATACTAGGTTATGCCAACTCTGAGAAGCTCTTGTTACCACTTTCGACGTATCTTGTCTCTGCGCAAACGGACGAACGGTGCCATACGATTCTCAAGGCGATCCTGTCTGCGCCGGATGTACCCCAGACGATTGTGGTGCATATAGCTGGTTTGCTTCTACGAGCGGCAGTAGACGGTGGCGGAAGCTTGGATTTGTTGAAGGATATCAGGTTGAGACATGGCGACGCGCTTGATATTGCCGCAAAGGAGATTGAGGATCAAAAGGAGGAGGTTCAGGCAGTACTGCTATCGCTCGCGCAGGTAAAACATCGTCTTATAATCCCTGATGATACTTTGAATACTCACTCGTATATATCAGAATAACGGCGACACGGACGCCACCCTCGCGTCCATGGACACGCAAGACACAGTCCGCGCAGCTGCTATAACCGACATCTACAAGCGCCTAGATAAATCCAACGCCGAAGAACGCGTACGTTCGCCTTCCTCACAACGAATCAATCAACACACAACTCAATTGACTGGTGCCTCTTTTATTATAGCCCGCACTGCACACAGCTCTTCTATCCCGCCTTACAGACTCCTCACTCGAAGTTGTTCGCGCACTCTACGCTTCACCTAGCCAACTTGCTCCGATCGCTCTGTCCGATCTATCGGCGTACATTTCTACGCTGTCAGAGCTTCTTCCGAGCGTAGAGCCTGAAGCACTGAAACTCCACCTCGACTTTTTGCTTTCGCACGTCGGACCGAAATGCGACGAGAAAGCATCTCAAGAGATCTTCGGTCGGCTACTCTTCCCACTCCTACTCTACAGCCGCGACAGACGTACGGCCGATATCGCATGGGACGCCATTTCCTCCGCATTCGAATCTTCGTCTGGAGCTGGATCTGGACTCCTAGCGCACGCGATGTTAAGCGGATGTATCGAGGTGCTCGAAGAAGTCAAGGCGCCGTTGTTTGCTAGGGGGAAGAAGAAGAAGAGTAAACCGTTGGAGAAGGGTGAGGTTGCGAGCATGGGCGCCGTGGATCTGGCCGTTGCGAGTCGGATGGCCGGTACGTTTCTTTCTTTGCTTCTTGCGTGTTCGGAGAGAGCGCTTATGTCGAGGATGGTGGTCAACAGATAACCTGATGCTGCTTAACGACCCCGAATCGCATCTGAGCTTCGTCCTCACGATGCTCACCTCGTCAAACCCACACGCCCGCGCACTTGCATCTCTCATTCTCCGAGCATACATTGGTCGTCTTTCAGGACCCTCTCAGATCTCGACCGCTCAACGAACAGTCGACGCTCTCGGTCTTGGTCTCAGCCTCGCGGCGTTAGATGAGTTCGCGGACGTCAACGCTATGTTGTCCGATGATGGGCTGGGTGGTCTCGTAAGCTCTAAACCGAAGAGCCCGAACACGCAGGCGTGGTTGAGCGCCAGTCTTCTGGCGACATGCGCTGCGACGCTGAGGCCGAGTGGAGCGATGTCGTTCATATCGTCTTCCGTGCGTAGCCCTCCTCCTCTACCACCTCCTGCGGTATCTTGGCTCATGACCTCCACATTTGTTTCCAGAACGAAGATGCTACACCTTATGCCCGCCTCGCGCGTACAGTTTACGCGTCTCTCAACACATCCCAAGCACCCGCAACTCTAAGCGCACACATTCTCCGCACTCTCTTTGCACGCCTGGGGTCTGACGCTCTCGCCTTACTCGCCGCAACATGGCTGTCCTCAACGGACACTAAACTGCAACATACTGCTATTGCGCACGCTTACGCTTATCTCGTCGCGCATGCCGAAACCGAAGAAGGCAAGGGCGTGGTCGATTTTCAGACCGTGCTGCCGAGTCTGCTTGTTGCGCTTATGAGTGCAGATAAGGCCGTACGTCAAGCGGCGGCGCATTGCATATCGGCGCTTGAAAACGTGTGTAAAGCATCCTCCGCCAACGCGGTGTACGCTTTCGACTCAATCTATGGTGCCAAGAGCGAAGAGCTGCAATACGTCGATTGGACCGATATGCGGAAGTTAGTGACGAATCTATGCGCGGAGAGGATGAAGTTCGTCGAGGATGGGGATACGCTTCGAAGGTGGATTGCGGAGACGTTGAGGGAGAAGGAGAGTAAGAGTGCGAAGAAGAAGCTTGAGTACGTTCTTGTTCTTATGGTCGTATGTGAGGTAGGATGAGAGGCTGACGATGCGTTCATCAAGTTATAAGCAGAAAGTACTGGTGTACCTTCTCTCGCACGCCGCGGCCTGTCCTGCCCCTTTGGCTCGCCTTTCCTTGCTTAGATTAACCCAGCCTGTACGTAGCGCGTTGAAAGCGCGGACTTTGCGGCCGTTGCTCGAGGAGCTCGCGAGTGGTGGTGGGGATGGGAGTGTTGCGGCTCTTGCGGTCGGATGTATTGATGCGAGCTGTGTCGGGGATCTTGAGGAAGATGCGGAGATGTGGGGCGTGCTTGTCAGGCTTTTGGAGGTGTTTGTTCGGGACGGTGAGTACTCTCCATTCCGGTCGAGTGGATAAAGGTTGACTTGTATCGGGTGTAGATGCTGCACCAGAGCCGCGCGACGTGCTCTTGAACAACTTGCAGACTTTTGCGCCTGCTCTATCGGCTGAACGTCGGTTTGAGCTCGCGCGTGTACACCTCAAGATCGGGTCAACCGAGACCGAGCTGGTACGTCCTGCTACCCACTTTACTGCCGAGCCTACTGACGATGTCGTTACTATAGGCGCTACTCCGCCCCATCTTCGACACCCTGCTCACCGACGGCCGACTCGTCATACGTCTTCTATCGACTCTTCAACCGTCCGCACCCGATACAGTCCCGCGCGCGGCGAAACGCGCAAAGGTCGACTCTACACCTACCGCCGAGCTCTCGCCGGAGATGGCCGAGTTATCGACGTTCGCGGATGTACTGGGTAACGCGCCGTTGTCGGGTTCACCAGAGCTGTTAAGCGCGTTATTGGAGACGCTCGGCCGCGTAGTCAAATCGGACATGTCCGCGCTCGGTCTCGGACGTTCGGAGGCGGTGTACATCCAACAGCGTCTGATGTCCGCTCTCGAGCGTTCGGCCTCGTCCGTACCCGTCAACGTCACAGTTCCATCTAGCGCATTGCGTGTGGATGTGTTGGTGGATATCATACGAGGGGGTGACTCGGGTCAGACGGTTAATCAGGCGCTGTTGTTGTTGGCGGGGTTGGCGAGGTTGGCGCCGGAGAGCGTGTTGGTGAACGTGATGCCTGTGTTCACGTTTATGGGGAGTAACGTGCTGGGACGGGACGATTCGTATAGTTTCCGCGTTATACAAAAGGTACGTCCTCTTCTTCTGAGGTGCAACGAGGACTTGATGCTGATGGGTAACTTATGTAGACTGTGGATAGCATCGTA